CTCTCTCTCTCTCTCTCTCTCTCTCTCTCTCTCTCTCTCTCTCTCTCTCTCTCTCTCTCTCTCTCTCTCTCTCTCTCTCTCTCTCTCGCTCTCGCATGCACACGCGGATGAGAGTAACTGGTGAAAGGCAGAGCCTTCAGCTGCCGACTCGCTGTGGGTGTCTAGAATAAGGAGGCCGGTGGGGTTGGAAGGTGGTCCTTGGGCATGGTGGTAAGCCTGTGAGGGGACAGACAGGGAGTGAGCCTGGGAGAGAGGAGGACGTACCTGGTGTGTCATGGAGGTCTGCATGAGCGACATCTTCATGTGCATCCGTTCCGCTGCTGAAGTTCTTCTGGTTGCATCCTCATATTGTAGGCTAGGATAGGTGTCGTGAGTCTGTGGTTGGGCGCCAGGCGCCAGTTGGAAGAGCGACATTGGATACTTTGTTGATGGTGGCGAGGCAGCGGCTGACATTGACAATAGAGTTCATTGTTTTGCTCTTATTTGGTGTGTACTTGGTGCATTCTGCTTTTTGTGCGTCACACTACTATCTGGTTTTCAATGTGATGATGCAATTTGGAGTTCTGTCATTCGCTCTCGCTCATTTCCTTGCATCTGCAAAAGAAAAACACTCATTTTCTTGCACGTGCAAAAAAAAAAACGAATTCCGCAAAAAAACTATGTTATGCAGAACAATCAACTGAACAACTTTTGTCTCATGAAGCATGATCCCATTAAAAGTCTTTACCAATTAAATAGAAATATATCTCTACTTTTTATTGTTGATATTTGTTGTCCCGTCCGAGCAAGTGGTCCCGGGCCACTCTGGTAGCCTAGCACGCAGCACAATTTCGGATTGGTAAAAACAGCCCTGGACGTAGTAGTGGTTTATGGACCTAAGCCCAAACATAGGTACACAAGCAATTACTTCAAAGCTGTGTAGCACTGCGAACGTGCTCGCGCCCCTCCGCGTTCGAGCGAACAGCTCGCGAACTTGTTCGGGAAAACATTTTCCCGTAAAAAAAAAATACATATGATATATATATCGTCAAATAGAACTGCCCGGTAAACCGTAGGCAGAGAGGGAGAAAAGGACAAAAAACGAGGGTATTGATGATATATATATATATTGATGATATATATATATATTGTCACATCACTACAAACTAAAAGAGCGCACTTTGCGGAACAAAGAATAAAAGCAAAAACCGGGCACAGTGATAACATGCAAAAATARAAATAAAAAGAAAAASAAAAAGAAAAAACAAGGGCAGATTGAAACCATTAAATTTCTCATTCTTCTTTGAACTCCACCTCCACTGTGCCTCTCACGTGCAAGGCTCGCCACGTTGATGAAGTTGAGTGCGAGCTGCCCCCATCCCCGTATGCCATAACAGCCCACTTGCACGCTGTGAGAGAGGCAGAGTGAAGGGGCAGGTGTTAAACACAGGGGAAAAGCTCAAGAATGAGGCTGTCCTTGACGACAGAAAGGACACACATTGTAAGGATGGGGTGGATGAGCGCATGGAAGACCTAACTGAGCATTCTCAAAACAACAACTGCCACGACGGCTGGCATGAAGCATGCCAACCATACATTCCTGACAAATAGCATGTCTATTGCAGGCCAGAATAAAGGAAGAACGCCCCCCACAAAAGAGCATGCATTCAGCATAGTGTCCGGATGAGGAGGGTGCCTGCAGTCAGGAACGGAGGGACAATCCTGTACACACATGGATGCAGAAAC